ATAAATTGCAGTTTAAGAAGCAAAATGAAAGAATGACTGCAGGCAGAGCCTATTCTGCAACAGTGACCCAGCTGCTCCTATTTTGCTTGTCCCCCCCCCCCATGGGTGAGCAGTTTATTTTTCAAACAAAGGAGCTGGTGAAAGGATTCACTTCCCCCATTCTGAGTTTGGTGGCCCCCAATCCAATTGGGGCTCTGCAGGCTTTTATAGGTTTTTCCCTCAGCATTTCAATCAGAAAGGATACCCATTCACTTGAAGATATTTTGATAGTAATGTGAATGCTGGCAATTGTTGCTTGGAATTATCTCCGTTCAATTACAAATTACACATTTGCATTATTCCATTATTTCCCATAAGAATTAAATTATTATGGATATCATTTAATTTTTTTAAGGATGCTTTCATTTTTGTAAATTTACTGGGTTTTTTATATAAATATAGGGAAGAAATAGGATAATTTAATCAGTGATTACATTTTATAAATTCGATTATGAGCTCTACTGTTATAGCTCTATGTGGTTCTTATTTGTGCAAGAGTAGAAACAACCAAATGAATTATCCTCTACTTATCTGGGAAGACAAGAAATTAATCAAGAATAGGTTTTTATGTATTATTAATCCAATCAGAATCTTTTTTATTTAAAGTCTATTCCGTCTTTTAAACTTAGCTCCTTTCAGTAAGTGAGGACTCTAGTGAAAAATAAAATAAACCACAGATGCTTAAGGCTGACTCATCTCTTCATTACAGTGCAAGATTGTGTTAAAAGCTATCATTCTGGTCACATGCTCTGAGTACTATACCTAGCTCTACATTTCCTTACTTTGTGGAGTTGAAACTCTTTTATCTTTTTTATAAACGTCATTTTCTGTCTTTTCATTTTTACTTTTTTTAAGTGTCGTATAAACATTACAAGTCCTCAATGAAATGGTATTGGAGTATTTCTAAGCTATACAATTTGTTTAATATACTGGAAAGCTGAAAAGCATTTCCTTCACTCCTTCCTGTTACTCCCTGAGGTGGTGCAATAATATATCCTATTTCTCTGTTTGTGCTCTCATCCCATTGCCCACAGTTACATTCCTTTTATAGTTGCCTATTTATAGGAACATTGTCTCAGATCTGTGTTTCCAGTGTCTCTAATAGGAATGGTCCAGTTTTCCCTAAGCTTCACACTAGTATACACATGCCCTAAAAAGTAATACTTTGAAAATAAAGCAGCTCTGTGTGGCAAGTTGACAATGGAATGAGATTGATTGTGTTGTTTGGACCATGATTTACATGATTCCAGTCTACTTCATTGCCAGTAGACTCAGGAAGAGTGGATGGGTGGGGTTTTCTTCATGCAGCAAACTGCATGTTCAAACAGTCCGGGGAAAGGAAAAACTGGAATTCTGCCATTTGGACTGGCAGGTAATCAAACTTGGGGGAGGGGGAAGAGCCAGTAATATAATTTAATGACGTAATTGAGAGATATGGATTCAAATTCCTTCTGGGACATGAAAGCAAGTTAGTATATTTCTATCTGTTTTGGAGAAAAAACTTTTCTTAAAAATCAATATAAAATCATAGGAGTTATTTCTTAAAGCTTTTAAACCATCTTTTCTATATCATGCTGCTAAAACAGGAATGAATCATTGGGTTTTTCTTATCTTTTGATAACAATGATTTAATCTGTATTGTTATTTTAAGTACTGGATAGAATGTGACTATTACGTTGCATACTTTGTTTATGTGGTGTCATATGTGGAGCCATTAGATGTGGGAGAAGACATGAAAGTAGACATATATTTCAAACATATTTACTAGACTATTTCAGTTTAAAATATGCAGTGTTAGAAGCTGTAATATATGAAGCTATTGGTGTTGATTTTAACTCTCAGAAATAAAATATCAGAATTTAGATCATGGGCTTTATTATTCAGCAGTTTCTGCTATTGAATAACATTTCATTGATAAACAGCACTACTGCTTGATTACTCTGTTTTGCCTTTGGAGTTGCAATTATAGCAGGGTTTTTTGCTTTGTTTACTGAGATGAACTTTCTGACATTAACGCAAGTAGTTTATTATTTGGGCCATTTGTATTATACTCAGCAGACAATAGATGGATTCCATGAATTTGCTTCTGTTTTTCATGCCTTTGGTTTGTACCTACCCTCTTTTATTATAAACGACTTCCTGCTGCATTTCAAAAGGAGAACAAAAAAATATCAAAATGCATTTAGAGTTTTAACAGTCTCTGACTGGAATTTGAAAAATGAAATGTCTTCTTAGCAGAAACCACAGCAAAATTGTGTATGAAATTAGCATTGGTTTAATTGACATGTATAGGCTGAAAAACAGCTTTGATAGTGAACACCCAGTTTCTTAATAGCATGAAAATTTCTCTGCAAAGTCTGAAGATGATTGTGATTTCAGGGAACACACACACACACACACACACACCAGCCACAGTACAAGATAGGATAGCCTTTTATTATTTCTTTGTATTGGATTATGCAGACTCTACCCAAGGTTTGTTTCTATATGTATGAACTTTCATCATACTACTTGCTGTATCAATTTACAGTAGAGTAAATTTAGAGTAATTTATCTAGCTTTTATTGTGATTGTAAACAAGAATTTTAGAAAGGCATCAAGAACCTTATTTTGGTTATTGATTTCAAGGCCCATTCTTAAGTGGATCCTCCCTCCCTCTGTTCTTACATATTATAGCACCATAAAAATAGTTTAAGGAGAAAGATGTGTTAGTGTTCGCCACCTTGAGTTATTTGTAAAAAATAATTTGTAAAAAATAATAAAGGCGGGATAGAAATAAATATCCATGTGCTATTTGGGATATCCACTCAGGACTTTACTTTTTCATACTGTTTGTGGCCAATTTTGCTTTCATTTTGTTGTCATACACTTCTGTGTACATTATAATTTTAGTTGCCTTTATAGTTTTTCTTTACCTGTATTTGTAAATATAACCAAAAGTCAACATAAATGTACATGTTTTTTTCCCCTGCAGCTTAGCAGTGTAGGCCTGTGGTAAATACTTTAAACTGAAATACAGGGTGCTTGAGAGAACTAAAATATCTCAATGTTTCTCCTTGCTTAAGAAATGGCCACAGTTCAAAGTTATCTTCCTTCGTTTATCTTCATTTAACAACTAAATGAAATTTGCTAAATTTACATTATACTTCATTGTTCTTCCCTGTGTAAAAAGACCTCTGGTATTTTTCCACACACTGAAAATCGGCTCTTCATAAGTCCTGCTCTTAAAAAGAGCTGAGTGTGATAGGGTTAATGGTTAAGAAGCTGCAGCAGATTAAGAAGCAGGTGAGATTGTTGTTTAACTGGCAAATTTAGAAGACTGAAGGATAAGAGAAATTTATTCATGCTAGTGAAAAATGTATTTTCTGCATCTATTCTGTTAGGAAGATAGCACTGCAACTGATTAAGAAAAGAGTTCCCACTTCAATTCAGTGCATACATGTGGGAGTTAAAATCCACAATGTGAATTCTCACAGTTCACCAGTCTTATATATTTGGAAGAATCAAATGTGCTTTTTGAGCAACATAGATCTTACATAACTATAGCACATAACTACATGCATTGTGCTGCATACATGTATTGTTTCAAAATTTTTCACTTACTATCAGGGCATTCTTGTTTTCTTTCTGAATTGTTTCTAGAGGACAGCTTTTGTGACCTGGGAAATCCTGCAGGTTATTAAAGCCTCAAGCAAAAGCAACAGATGTGGTTTGAGAGAGTCTTTTAGTCTGCCACTTGGCGTTCACTTTCTTCTGTTTGAAAATCTGTTTTCTGCAAGGAATTTGTTTATGTATGGCTTTCCTTTTAAGTTTCTTTTACTAAAACAGGCCTAGTTTAGCCTGTGTCTTCTCTGTGCACAGGATGGCTCCTGCTTGCCAGAGCTGCACAAAGATAATCGCTCAGGAAGTGTTTCAGCCAATCCCCTGAAGCTTTACATTCAGATTTTCCAAAGTAGCCAATCCAGGATTAGCTTTTATTAGGGAGACAGATCATCAAGCTGAAGTGCCAAGCCCTTTCTGTCTGAGTACTGAGAGCCTGTCCTCCATGTTTTATAAGTATTGACATAACACTGTGTTAACAATGCATCCACAGAGGTAAGCTTTACTTTTTTACATTTTTTTCTCTGAAACCTATGAGTTGTGGCTTAACAGTGTGATTCTCTGTGATCTGTTGCGCAAAACTCACCCCACAGCACTTTAGTAAGTTGAAAATGTTTAAAATTGCTTTCTTGGGTCACATGGTTTAGTAGCCATTAGCCATAGCTTTATTTTACAGACTGGCAAAACGTTTGCATACATATTCTTCACAAGGGGATGGTGGTTTTAGAGTTTGTCAAGGTACTGCTCTTCCAAAGCAGCTTTCTGTGTCTGAGCAGTTTGCCTGCACTATTGTCTGTTGTGTCACATGCCTGCTGAAGAGAAAATGGAAGCTAGGGAGCAGATGCATTTAACTGCCCTACAGGGAGACAAGCAGAGATAATGGCAGACAGCAGAACAGGCAAGTTTACCTTTTCAAACATAAAAATAAGAGCTAATCTAAGTTACCCCTGATAAAATATGGGATTTTTAGCCACTTAGCCTGCAGTAAATAGTGATAATGGCAGATTGCAGATACTGGGCCTAAGTAGTGGAGTGCTATTGCATCATGTTTTTGTGCAGTTTTACATTAACTTAAAATGGATACTTTCTTACAGGAGGATTATAGAAGCAGGGTGTGTGTATTTTTCTGGGAGAAGTATATTCCTTTAAAACTGTCTTTTTAAAAATGTTTTTCTTATTGTAGATTTCAGAAATAGTTAAGGTCTAGGTCTGAAACTATCAGACATAGCTATGCATCTGTTTCAGTTCCTTATTTATTTAAAGACATCACTTTTTTGAACTGTTATCTACCTTTTCTGTAATACAAAAAAAAACCCTAATGGACTTAACTGCTTTTTTTTCTTTTGCAATGTAACAGGCTGAGTTCTCTGAGGTGGAGTGATAAAAAAATCATGTGTGGTTCATGAGAGTATTACATGTTCATTTTTTTCTCCTCTTTTTGGGCTTTTCTGGTTTTTGGCATGATGCTACGTAATTATTTCAAAAATTTCCTTTTGGTCAATCCCAAATCTGCCAGCTTGTTGTATCTTATTTATTGGGGAAAATGAGATGGTTGCTTGAATGTTTGGTAAGTAAAACTTGTCTGCTATTCTCTAATAAATTTAAGTAGTTTTTAATCTTTTGCTTTTAACAGGATAAATGTAATACATCCAGGGGATTTCTTTTTTTTTTTTTTTTTGCTAATTAACTAAACTAAATGTTGATTTTTTCAAAAATTATTTAAAACTGTGTGCCAATTTTAATTTTGTTTTTTTCACAATATTCTGTTATACTTGAAATATAAACTTCCTGTTTTCTTCTGAGAACAACATTCTGCTTATTCTTTGTTCACAGAGGCTCTTAATTAATGCATTTGCAGATTAAAGCCCAATTCATACTTCCTCTGGCTTTTGAGTGATGAATGTGCTAGTTTTCAGCAAAGTAATCTTACTGTATTGTTATATGGTTATCCTTCAGTTACCCTATGCTTTTTTATTACCTTATATGACTTTTGGTTTTAGAATAACTTCCAGTTACTGATGTTTAAAATCTAAAACTAAGATATTTTATATGCATGTCTCATCTAACAGTTTTTGTAGTAGACATTTTCTCACATTGCAGATTGTGCTGTATATTCAATTTATGTACCATTTTGTAGCAATCCATCTTGTGCTCTGACACAAATAAGTCTTGAGAAATAATTCCTTATCACAGCTTATTCAGGGATATCATGGACTTGATAAACTGTAATCTAGTTGTTGTATCCCTTTTGCTATTGTCTTTAACCCAGGTTTGTGGTTGGTTTTAAAGTGAATCCTTCAAATCATTAAAAATGCCTAATCACTATATTTCCTCTCCCCTCCCCCTGCAATCTGTTTCTGTAGGAGTTAAAGTTACTTACCCAGTTTTTCTCTGTTATAGAACTGATTTATATATATAAATGGTACCAAGATATAGTTGAGAAATACATTTTACTGCTTTGGTTGTCAGAATTATGGCCAGACAGTATTTGCAGAAGTGCATTACACATTAGCAGCTGGGTGTGGAATCTTAACACTAGAAAATGCTATCTTATGAAGGAACAGAAGGAAAGTGAGCTGAACTCAGAATGCTTGAATTAAAATGGCTCCCTTAGGTTTTATTGAAGAAAGATGTGTCTCAAGATCTGCATCTCCAGAGCTATTGCTGACAAAGGAAAGCCTATTTGCATGGACTATCCCCTGTGCACATAATGAAACACAGCATCATAAATTCCCCGAAGTTCACCCCTTTAAATTATTTGAACGCTAATTCTTTCTTAGTTCACAATATATAAATGTCTGCATTGCAGCAAGATGTTTGAGGCAAGAAGAGACAGCAGTGTTGTTCCCGGATCAGCCCAATCATGTTGCTCTGTTGAAAGCCTGACCAATAAAAACAGAATAGGTTAAAGATTGACAGATATTATAGCAAGGCTGAGAAAGGCCTTCCAGAAATTTCTCCATCTTTGTTCCATTTTAAGCACAGAAACTGAGCCAAGCTCAAGTATTCCACAATTTGTATGCTTTTAACATTAATCAAATTGGATTTCTTATGGTTTGTCACATTTAAGAATGGTATGCATAGAGTCACACTCTGCTTTAAGCAAGATGATGCAAGATGATGCAGGTTTGCTGTGACTATATAATTAGATGAACACTTACTCTCCTGTCCTAACAGAACTGAACTAGAGCATTTAAATATTGATTGTAATTTTACTGAATAACATAGCTGATATAGGCTCCTTTGAAATAATTATTTTGGCACAATATTGCTTTTATTTGTTTATTTTGGTCAACATAAATTCAATTTACCATTATGATTTAGCCCCCACTCTCTTTTTAAATTAAATATTCCAATAACATAGCACAGATAGCAACATGTAAACTCATTAAAACAATGAGTTAAAATGCACATGCCTTTCAATCTGTGTGCAGATTATTTGAGAACCAAATAGAAATGGGTAAAATAACTTGCATTTCTAGAAGGTTTTTTACAATATTTAGCCACTCTTGAAAAGGAAAGAGTGCTGTGAACCTCAAAACAAATATCCTACTGTCTCCCTCTCTCCCCCATCACACACATGTGCACACACACACACTCACATTTCTACTTTGTTGATTTTGGAAGAACTTTTTGGCACATTTTCACTACAAATACTGTTTGTAAATTTAACATCATTTTGCATAATCTTCATTTATTACACACCAGTTCTCTTTTTGTTGTAAGATAACCCATGTTGCAGTGTTTAGTGTATATATACACACAGATACAGACACTTGTTTGTGTGCTTGTGTGTATGCATGCATGTTGTATTGTGTGTATGTATAGAAATAAAATCTCATTAACACCTACCATTCAATATCACTTTTGTACCTCTTCAATAAAGAGATTACATTTGTTTTATTCTTGTAAAGAAATTCAGCTTATTGTAAAGCTGGTGCCACCTTGTACGCATATAAGTAGTAGTAAGCAGTAAGTAATGTCAGTGCCCTAGAGTATGTTGGGTCAAGAGTGGCATATTAAAATCCTACATAGCACCTCAGCATTATGGGACAGTTTAGCAGTATACATTATAATAGGTAATCAGATTGGGGATTGAGAGTGAGGGTTCAGAATTTTATCTCTTCTACAGACTGCTACAAACCACAGATTTTAATACTTTTTGCTACAGACTGCTATTGACGATTGTAAGAATCAACCGTAGGAATTACAGTATTTCATACATGTATTTAAAACATGATCAGAAGCTTTAGGGTAACATTTGTGATGCTAGCTAAGAATTGGTTACAAAGCTAGAAGATTTGTTAAAACAAGCTATATTTTGGGATTGTGCAGTTCCTTTCTATGAAAACATTTGACTTAAACATTCCACTTTCTCCTGGGATTGAAGTGTTGCTATTTGTTAGCCAAGTGTTGATACATAATTGCTTTATGGATTCTGGTATTTGTGAACATTATTGTACACTTCTTATATTTAAAAAAGCGAATGTCTTAATTTTATCATAAAACATTTAATTCCTTTTACATTCACCAGATCAGTAGTTATTTTTAATCTTAAAATACATTAGGCTTTGCAGGGTAATTGGAAAAGAATCAGTTCTTAGAATCTAAGGATTTCCTTAAGAAATTAGTCTTGGGCATTTTAGTTTACAATTGGGGGATATTTTATCATCTTGTAATATTTTTTTGCTATTTAAAAATCTTACTGCTTAAAAAAGATCAGTTATTGAATAAATTGCTACCATTTTAGCCTCTGTATAGGAATGAGGCAATGCAGTGCTGTCAGACGCCATTTTAAGAATCCTGCATAAATAGCATAGCTACCGATGAGTAAGAGACTGTTATAGGTGAGTGCTTATACACAGATGCTCTTTATTCAGTTATGACAAGCAAAATAATATCTCAGTTTTGTGAAATGCAGTTTTAAACATTTTATTATATGCTTGCTACTTGTACTGTAGAAGCATCAGTTATTTTGAAGATAAAATTGAAGTCTAGTTCTTAAGAGGGTTGAGCATTGTTTTTAATTTAAAAAAGATTTTGCCCAAATGTATGTGTCTTGATAGTAAGTTATTTCATTACTGAGGCTACATTATGGCCAGTATTGTCTGGTTGTTTTCTATCATTGGATTTCTTATCTAAATGTCAAGTGTAGCAGTTCATTTACAACTTTTTCTCTTTATAATTAGGTTAGTGAAAGCATAGGTGTTTCTTCATTTATCCATATGTTAAATAATGATGTTGCAGTAAAGAGTGGTCCTTAACATACAGTATTTTATTTGTGAAAAATACAAGTTTTTTTTAAAAAAGCAAATCACAATTCCTTACCAATAAAAATATTTTAGTTATGTAAAATATACACTATAAACATTTTTGATAGTTGGGTTTATTTGTATCATTCAGTACCTAGATGTCATCTGAAAAAGAGTAGGGGAAACTTTTATTTAGCAAAGCTCTAAAGTCTTTGTGCAAGTAATTTGTTTCATTCTTAAGATTTGAGGCTTTGGGAGCAGGGTTGTGGTTTTGTTTTACCGCACTTGATAAATTCAGAGATAAGTTTGGGGGGTGAATATAAATTCAAGTCACTTCATATTGTATTTGGCAAAAGTTTACTAATATAAACATTTATGTCTGCCTTCTCAAGAAAATCATACAGTATCAGAGAACAAGGTAAATGTTCTTTGTAATATTAATATATGTATTACAGGTCTTTACCAGATTTAATAGTATATATGTACAATCCCAAACAATTACTTTCTTAACTGCATTTTAAAGGAAATTGTAAAAAGGCTATTACAATTGGAAAAAAACTATACAATATGGGAGATACCAAGATGATGCACTTTGATCCTTTAATCCTTGTGGTCTTTTAATATTTACTTTCTGCTAAGAAAAAGTACTACAAATAATATTAAAGTGCAGTTATTTGGAAAATGTTTCTTTCCCTTATCTTTTAAAGTCTTTTTGGGACAGATTATAAATAAATTGTGATGGGATGGAAAGCACACACTTGAAATCTACTGAATCTAGAAAGAAAAAGTTATCCTAAACAAATATTAATCTCCTGCATGGATATTCTGAATATCTATCCCTCTTTCATTGCCATCAGTGAAAGTATTAAGCAGCTCAGTATATGCTATGGTGGTTTAGGCAGAAACAAAAATTTTATTGAATTTATGAAATTATTCAAAAGTCAAGTATTTTCCTAATTTTTATCTGATATTTCAAAATATTTTTGCATTGTTTCTAACTTTCGTTTTATCTAGTTTTCTTAGAAAATTATTTCAAGCCATAAAATAAATCTTAGTTACAGAATTTCCCATTGATAGCTTCATACAGGAAAACAGCTTTATATCCTTGTGGAACTCCTTTATTGCATATCAAAGCCCAGCACAAACGCTCTTAGGTTTGAACCTTGCTTTTCAAATGGTTTAACATTTTGAAAATTTCTTTAATTGGAAAGAATAAATTGCAAAGCTATGTTTGAAAACTTGTGCAATGTGTGAGTTATACATATCTTAATTTCTGTTTCTTTTCTCTCTAAACAAAAAGCCAATATTTCTTTAC